ATAGAGACATACAAGATGATCAGAGGATTAGATAGGGTGGACAGTGGGAGCCTTTTTCCTCGGATGGTGATGGCTAGCACGAGGGGACATAGCTTTAAATTGAGGGGTGATAGATATAGGACAGATGTCAGAGGTAGGTTCTTTACTCAGAGAGTAGTAAGGGCATGGAATGCCCTGCCTGCAAAAGTAGTAGACTCGCCAACTTTAAGGGCATTTAAATGGTCATTGGATAAACATATGGATGATAATGGAATAGTTTAGGTTAGATGGGCTTCAGATTGGTTTCACAGGTCGGCGCAACATCGAGGGCCGAAGGGCCTGTACTGCGCTGTAATGTTCTATGTTCTACGTTCAATCCTAGAGCACCGTCTCTGACCACACACTCGGCAGGTGTTTCTGGGAGGTGGAATTGGATCCTTGGCCTTCAGATTGTCCGCATTCCTTTCTCCGGTTCCTTTCCTGTATTTGTCATCTGGTATTCTCAAAGAATTGCGACCGTTCAGACAGAAAGTTCCTCCAAGTCTGTTTCTTCTGAACGAGGGTCTCCCATGCATTGGCTTTTATGTTGCATTTCTTGAGGGAAGCCTTCGGGGAGACTTTGAAACACTTCCTTTGCCCTTCTCTCAGTCAAGTGACTTTTTTTAAAGCTGGGCAAGGTCGATTTGCTTTCACAGTCAGAACCCAGGAGCCCTAAGAACATATCTGGTCTGGCGGAGTTGGTTTCAGATTATCATGGCCTCGATGCTGGAGCTGTTAGCTGCTTCTAGGATACTGATGTTAGTATGCCTGTCCTCCCAGCTGATGCAAAGAATCCACCTCAAACAGCAATGACTGTACTGCTCAAGTGTCTTGAGATGGCAACTATACATAGTCAAAGTATTGGAGCCACATAGACATGTCAGAATGATGACCGCCTTATACATAAGGATCTTGGTATCAGCACGGATATCATGGTCATCAAAGCCTTATCCTTAGGCATCCGAAGACGGGGTTCACACAGTGGATGCCATGTTGAAACTCTGCATCGATGTCAGCCTTAGATGTGAGGTAGCTTCCCATGTAGGGGGAACATTCCACATTTGGGAGACATCTCTAAGTGATCTAAGTGGAGGGATGGACCGGAACTTGACCTGGGACGGGTTAGTAAAGCCACTGTTCGGTACTGTTTGATACTGTTTCACCCTCCTGTTGGCTCTTACAAACATTCAGCCGTCGTTCTCTGGCAGTCGGTTGGACAGGGCAAGTTGCTGTCAAACAACCAACGAAAGAAATATGTGTATCTGAGACCTGTGTCAGCCACATACCTCCTTAACCAATCAGATGACAGAATTATTAATGAGCACCACAAGAAGTGTAATTCAATGTCAAAACAAACACAGAAAATGAAACAAGGACGGGGAGAGAAAATAGAATTGAGGGAAAGAGAGAGATTTAAGAGAGACAGAAAGAAAAACTGTCTCTGTAGGAATGAGGTTCCACACTTGTAAATGATGATTTTCAGTGCTTGAGAGATTATTTGACAACGATTACGATTTATGATATCATTGACCTACAGTGGCATAGGTACGTTCTAACTTTGGTGCAGTAAGTGCATGGATATAGGTGAGGTGAAGCAATCTTGTATTGTTCAGTGTATTTGAAATGGTGAATTAATGGCAGAGGTGTCATTATTATGCAGTGTCTGGAGGAGCAGAGCACTACCATCAACAACTTCCTCATTTATCTGAAAACAACAAATGCTGGAGATCACAGCAAGTCAGATAGCATCCATGGACAGAGAGCAAGCTAACATTCTCAAGTCTAGATGACTCTTCATCAGAGCTGAAGTGAAATGTGGAGGGGAACAGTATCTTTGCTACTGGAGTCGGGGGGTGGGTGTTGTGGTGGTGGTGGTGGGGTGGGGTGTAGAGTTCTGCTACACACCCCCCAACTATAGCATAAATGCTGTCCACTCCACACCTCACTTCAGGTTTGAAGCGTCATCTAGACTCAATGTTAGCTTGCTATCTCTCCATGGATGCTGTCTGACCTGCTGTGATCTCCAGCATTTCTTGTTTTCAGAACAGATTCCAGCATCTGCAGTAATTTACTCCTTCCTCAATTACCTGTTTAGGTGCATATGCAATTGATGGATGTTGCTGTGTGATTTTAACATTAAGACCTGTTCACTTCACTGATATTGCTACTGTAAAGTCTAGTCCATTATATTGATAGAAACAAGGAACAGGATATTCCACTATGCCAACTTAGTTATATACAATACTTACCACTAGAGGGTAGCATTTCAGGGAAATGTAGGAACATGGGCAAGGAGAGTTCCGATAAGCCATGATCACATTGAATGGGGGAAGCAGGCTAAAGGGGCCGAATAGCAACTCCCATTACCATTTCTTATGGTATTATCCTAAAGTAATTCTTGAACCAATTTCTTTATGTGGCTTCAAGACCTGTCCATTCCAACGTGATTTCAAACAGTGAGAACCCAGTGGTGAGAAGTTCAATGCATTTCTACTCATACAGAATTAACTAGTCCTTGAGTCTTGTTTATTATTTCCAAAATATGGTAAAATGGTGTCACAGAGAAATTTCATTGGCCTAATAATCCAGATGTCCTGGCTCATGCTTTGTGGATATGAGTTTAATTCTCCATTGTATATGAGCCAGTGGAACTTAATTTAATGAAGTTACTTAATTGGTAATGTTGATCAATCAATTCAATCCCCCATTTTCAACATTATGGGGTTACCATTGAACAGAAACTGAGATGGACTAGTCATATAAAAACAATGGCTATAAAAGTAGGTCAGGGACTAAGTATCTGGTAGCAAGTAACTCACTTTCAGACTCTCCAAAGTCTGTCCACCATCCACAAGGCACAAGTAAGAAGCGTGGTGGAACATCCTCCACTTGCCTGGATGAGTGCAGCTCCGACAACACTCAGGAAGTTTGACACCATCCAGGTCAAAACAGCTGGCTTGATTGGCTCCAAATCCACAAATATTCACTCCCTCCATCCCCACTGATGTTCAATAGCAGCAGTCTGCACCGTAGAAGTTCAACAAATTCCTTAGGGAGCGCTTTCCAGACTTATGATCACTACCATCTAGAAGGTCAAGGGCAGCAGATACATGGAAACACCACCCCCTGCAAGTTTCCCTCCAAGCCGCTCACCAACCTGACTTGGAAAAATACTGCCGTTCCTTCACTGTCGCTGGGTGAAAATCCTGGAACTCCCTCCCTAATGGCATTGTGAGTCCATCTACAGCTCATGGACTGTACTGGTTCAAGGCAGCAGTTCACCACCAACTTCTGAAGGGCAACTGGGAACAGGCAATAAATGCTGGCCCAGCCAGTGATGTCCACACCCCACGGGTGAATTTAAAAAAAATGCTGGCCTTGCTATCAATGCTTATATACCACAAACAAATTAAAACTAAAATACTTCAGAAGGGAAGGCCAGTACATATACAGAATAATACATACATGAATTGTAAAGGCCGAGTGCAGCCTTAAGAGAAGGAAGAGTAGAGTGTTACTAACCTTTAAGTAAGTGGTGCTGGGTGTGTGAATATGGATCCTTCCTTCCATTTTATTGCCTTTGTTTTTATAGTAGGTGTAGATGACCAAATTCTTCACAGATACGGCTTTTGCTGCTGTTATTTCCACACTTGCTTGGTAAGCACGAATGTGAGGTTGATTCAGCTTATGCGAAGTATGAAGGTACAGCCAAGGTGTATCTAGCTTCAATGAACCTTATCAGAAATTAGGAGAAAAAGTTTTACAAATGACTGTTGACAAATGAACACCAGGCTATCTCATACTTAAATACATTGTGGTGCAGGGTCTATAATCTGTCACCCTATATTCAACAGGTAAATGAGGCAGTATTTTAATAGGTACAGTTTTTAACCTGTTTACTTTTTCTCCGAACATTTTAAGTACCAGCTCAGATCTATATCTTTTCTGTACATCCCTCTTTCCCAGCTCCTCCTCTTGCTGCTTTGGGTACATCTCCAGTTCCCAGTTATTTTTCCACTGTTAATAGGTTTCTCCTCCTGCTGGCCCACAAGTAAACCTTTCTAAGACTATTACGAAACATGGACCCGTTACCTAGAGACTGGTGGCCATTTCTGGGCCTAAGGTTACATTATCAAACATGTTGCAGTGAAACCAATGCTATGCAACACTACCGGTAAAATTAAGCCCTCATACATCAAGGGGCCAATGGCCTTCTTGTGCCTGACTTTGATCTGGTACAAACAGTGGACTGAGGGAATGTGAAGTGTAAACCCATCAGCATCTGACTACATCGCCCCCTGTACTTTCACAGAATCCCTACAGCACAACCCATCAAGTCTGCACCCACCCTCTGAAGAGAATGCCACACAATCCTCGTAACCCGGCATTTCCCACAGCCAATCCACCTAATCCGCACATCTTTGGATAACCCACGCAGACACTGTGAGAATGTACAAACTCCACACAGACAGTCGCCCAAGGCTGGAATTGAATCTGGGTCCTTGGTGCTGTGAGGCAGCAGTGCTAACCATTGAGCCACCGTGCCACCTTTTGTTCCCAGATGGTGGACAATGCTCACTCTAAATTCTCACTTTTGTTGCCATCTGTTTGTTGTATACTGTGGTCCCTTTAACATTGCCCTATGTTACCTACATGCTGACATCTTGAAGGGACCCTTTCTTGTGTGTGGTCAGTTTGTTCTCTGATGGGGCATGTTCTGAGTTGCAGCATGTTGATGGTGACAGCTCTTTGATATTATGGGCTGGTGAGTGCTTCAGGTAGAAGAATATCTATAACATTTAGGACTCCACAGGATATATGGCACAAAAACAGGCCATTTGGCCCAACCAGTCCTTGTTGGTGTTTATCATCATAGAATCCTGACAGTGTGGAAATAGGCCCTTTGGCCCAACAAGTGTACACCGACCCTCAGAGCATCCCACCCAGACCCATCTCGCATAACCCACCTAATCTACACATCCCTGAACACTATGGGCAATTTAGCATGGCCAATCCACTTCCACAGGGTGGAATTGAACCAGGGTTCCTGGCGCTGTGAGGCAGCAGTGCTGACCACTGAGCCACTGTGCCGCCCTTGTGCATCCTTCTATTCCTTATTCTCCCCTTTCCCTCATAGAAAGGGAAACTAGACAATGGGCTATGTTTCTATACTACTTGCTTCAATCATTCCTTGGGGTAACCAGTTCCATATCTTCAAATTTTTGGGTGACAAAGTTTCTCCTGAATTCCCCATGAGATTTCTGGATTGCTATCTTATAAAGTTGGTCTCTAAGTTCCACAAAAGAAAGCCTTCCCTTTGTATCCACTCTATCAAAACCCTTCATAAATTTCAAGACCCCTTTTTGGTCATCCCCTCAACCTTCTTTTCTCAAAAGAGACCAATTTGCCAATCCATTCTGGAAGTGACTGCATACCCCTTTCTGGTATCATCCTTACATCTTCCGTGGTTTTGACATTTTACTTTTCCACAGAGAGCTCACAGAATGAACTAAAGATGGAATCATTGCAAACTCAGTAACATTGAGAAAAGGAATGATCTAAAGTTTGCAAGTGGTTAATGAAATGTTACCCCAGTGCTGTAGGTCAGTTAATTTGCACAGCATTTTTCAATTTTCTTGTTACTATTCTTTCAGCCAGAGCAGAATTTACTGCAAATCAAACAAAGCCTATGTTGTGAAGAGGATAATTCATGGCCTTCATTCTCAGATTTCACCAGTGTAGATGGGCATATTTCATCCGTTTCTCCAATTTTGTCACATTTTCCCCTTTTTGATGCCCCTTCTATGAGACCATCAGTGGGAAAACATCTGTTCCTAAATCCCTGTCCAAATCAGACATCATTAAACCAAAATTATAGCACAGAATGAAACCATTTGGCTCACTGAGTCATTTGCAGAGAATCTGAAATCCAAAATGTATCAATATTTGAAGTACTTGGACTAAAAAAAGAACTAAAAGAAAAATCTAAAACAAACTGGAAAAAATTCTGATCATTAACTTGAAGGGCAATATGCCAATAAAATGCATTGCTGCTAAGACTTCCTACCTTCCCACTTCTTTAGGTTAGGTTTTGATGTATCCTTCCACTGAATTCCTGCCTGGAATGGGATCTTGTCATTGTACAGCACTTTGGCATGTGTGTTGCTTTCAGTGTAGCCCTTCAGAGAATGAGAATGCTGCAGTTGTGTCTTGTAGTTAATTTGCTTCTCTGGAATTTGCAAGGTGAACTGGATAATGGTAAAGTAGTTTGAAGCTATTAAATTAGCACTTAAGGAACTAGAGACATTGGCACTTAAAAAGCAATTCATCAATCTGTAACCAGTTGAAAGGACGGACATCGGTCTTAACAAACTCACTTGTTTGTACAGAACTTGCTTTAAAACAAAATAGACAGACTGTCCAAGCACTTTGTCCTGCATTCGTCAGGACACAACTGCAAGAATACCAAATTACGAAAAGGTACAACAATTTATACTGCATAATATGAAGGCTCTGATTGGTTGGTCAGTGGACTCCAGTTGATCGGGAGTTGCCATGGAGAATGTACCAGGGAATAACAAATGGACAAGCTTTTGTTTGAATTCATCTGGGGAAGGTTAACTCTGTTAGGCCCAAGTATTGCCATGGGGTATGCATAGGGCTAAGATTTTGTGTTTCTTCATTGTGAAGAATCTTCTCTTTTTGTATTTCTCATAATAATCTTAAATTGTTGAACTGTCATTTACCCATCTCATCAATACTCTTCAATATATACAGTAATGGGGCATCAAAACCATTTAGGGTAGAGAATTCCATTGTTTTGTAATCCTGGAGGGGGTGGTGTAGTTTCTTTTCCCACCTCCGACCTAAATGTTTGGCACCCTGTACTGAGAGAGTGTCCTTTCGGGTGTTGGATTCCCCGACCATCAGAAACAACCATCCACCCTGTCCTTCTGAGGCTTGTATATCTCTCAAGATTGCCTGTCATTCTTCTATACATCAGAGAATATAGGCTCAAGTTACTTCAGGACAGGTAGTTAGCTGAGATTCTATTTCATTTCACAAGTCACACTTTAATTAACTCGCCGTCTGTTTCCTCAATGCCTCTATAAGGCACAAGTCAGGAGAATGATGGAATACTCCCCACTTGACTGGATGACTGCAGTCCCAACAACACTCAAGAAACTTAATACACTGCTGGACCAAGCAGCCTTGATTAGCACCACATCCTCAATCATCCACTCCCTCCACCACTGATGACAGTAGCAACAGTGTGTACCATCTATATGATGCACTGCAGAAATTCACCAAAGCTCCTTGGAAACCCGCAACCCACCATCTAGAAGCACAGGGCAGCAGATATATGGGAACACAACCACCTACAAGTTCCCCATCAAGTCAATCATCATCCTGACTTGGGAATATATCACCTTTCCTTCATTGTCACTGGGTTAAAATCCTGGAACTCCCTCTCAAAAGTGTCCTTACACCCCAAGGACTGCGATGGTTCAAGAAGGCAACTTAACAACTACCTTCTCAAGGACATCTAGGGATGGGCAATAAATGCTAACAACACCCATGTCCCACAAACGAATAATTTTTTAAGAAGTATTAACTGAATTCTACAATGAATAAACAGTAAATGGAAAGAAACAAACCTTTGAACTATTTGTGAATGATGGCTCACTCGAGGATAAAACAAGACCAGGATCTTGGGTTAAAGAATCTGGACGCTGATATTCTTCTTGAAGTGATGAGTGAAAGACATGTTTGAAGGAACAAAATCAAGCTGGCTAATGCCAGCTACGTCTTTTTTAAAAATGTAACAAACCCCTCTGAAATCCCAATTTCCTGTTTGAAAAGATTCATGCCAATGTTCTCACCTCCATGAAGTAGTTTGTTAGACTTAGGCTGGAGTCATTCTTGAAGAGCTGTGTGATGAAAATCTTCTTCCTGTTATTAATCTCATCCCAGTGCTTTCCGTAGTTGATAGCAAGCTGCGTGTGCGTCCTTGACTCACTTTCCTCATGTTGTAGGTGAAGCTGTCAGGGTGCACAGACATTCACATTTCAGTACAATGCAGCAGAGGAGCTCTTGTGGAGCAGTGGGTACTGCCCTGCCTCTGAGCTATCATCTCTGGGTTCCAGTCCCACTCCAGGACTTGAGGCAAAACGGGTTTCATATCAGCAAACCATAAATCCTTCCAACACACACCAATGGGGGGCAGTGAGGTGCAGGAGAGATTCCTGGTTAGCCACGTGATAGAGAGAACATCGGAGGCTCCACCATCACTGTTCACAGTTCTGGGCCACAATGTGTCTGTGGAGGTGGATTGGACTCCCTGACAAGGCCATTCAGCCCAGTGAACCTGCTCTGCCACTCCGCTGACCAGTGGCCTAACTCCAAATGCCTGCTTTTGGTTTATTTCCCTTGATACCTTTATTTAATAAAAATAATTGTCTATCTCAGATTTAAATTTAACAACTTGAATTAGCACTGATAGCCTTTTGAAGAAGAGTTCCAAACCTCTTCTACTCTTTGTATGAAAGTGCTTTCTAACATCTCTCTGATTGGCCTGGCTCCAGTCTTAGACTATGCCCCCACCCCCCCTGCCCCCCCCCCCCAAGCACATTGTAGAAATCTTCAACCAGTGGAAAATAGTTTATTTACCATCTTTCCCTGTTAATAACCTGAGGACCTTGAATAGATCATCCCTTAACCTTCTAAATTCTAGAGAATAAAGGCCTATTTATATATCTTGTCTCCTTGTAACTTAATCTGAAGTCCAGGTATCACCTTTGTAAACCTGCATTGAACTCCCTCCAGGGCCAAAGAATCCCTTCTACAGTATACTGCCCAGGTCTGCTCACATCACTCTATGACAGGACTAACTAGGGGTTTGCATAACTCCAGCATAATGTCTGTATCCTTATGCTCCAGTCCTTTGGACACAAAGGCCATCGTTCCATTAGCCTTCTTGATTAATTCCTGAGATAGTAGGAACTGCCGATGCTGGAGAATCTGAGATAACACGGTGTAGAGCTGGATGAACACAGCAGGCCAAGCAGCATCAGAGGAGCAGGAAAGCTGACATTTCCCTGAAGAAGGGTCTCAACCCGAAACGTCAGCTTCCTTGATTAATTCCTGCATCTGTTTGTGGCATGTATTTAACTTTTTGCTTTCTAAAAAGTACCTGATTATCCTTTGTCAATCCAAAAATCTATCTGCTACAGCTTTACCCATTCACCTAATCTATCAATATTCTGTTGTAATTTTATGCTGTCAGCAACACTGTCTACAATGCTGCCCAATTTTGTGTTGTCAGTAATTTTGGATATTTGACTTTTTATACCATTAACCAAGTTGTTAATAAATATCGTGAGCAATTGAGTACAGTACAGATTACTGTGGGCCACTACCAGTCACATCCTGCCAATTTGAGAACTTACCCATCATTCCAATGCTGTTTCCTGCTATTTCACTAATTTCCTACCCTTGTCAGCAAATTGACCTCTCTTCCATGGGCCTCCACCTTAGCAAACAGTCTCTTACGTGGGACTTTATCAAAAACCTTCTGACAGTCCATATAAACAACATCCATCGACTTACCTCTGTCAACCACCTTTACCACCTCTTTGATAAACTCTGAGGTTTGTCAGGCATGACCAACCCTTCATGAATCCATGCTGATTCTCCTTGCAGCTACCCTATTCTTGATTATAGACTCCAACAATTTCCCCACCACAGATGTTAAGCTAACTATCTGTAATTCTCTGGTTTCCCTCTACCAGCATTTGTAAAGAGCGGAGTGACGAGAACAAATTTCCAATCCAGAGGTACCACTCCTGAATCCAGGGAACTCTAAAAGATTATTATTAGGGTATCGGCAATGTGCTCTCCTACCTTCTTTAATACCCATGGATGGAAATCATCAGGTCCAGGGTATTTATCACTCTTCAGTTCCATTAATTTCCCCATTACTGGTGATTCACTTAAGCAAATGTTATTTATACCCTGTCCCTAATCTTTTGTTAATTTCGTTGAGAATTCTTGCATTCTATTCTCCTTTACTGCTGTGAATACTGAAGCAAAATAATGTCTGCTCTTTCCCCATAATCATTGATAATTTCTTCAGTGGGCCAATAGTACTCTTAACCAGTCACTTTCCCTTTAAATAATTCTAAAATCTCTTATTATTTTTTACGGCCCTTGCAAGTTTCCTTTCATAATCCTTTTTAGCTGCTCTTGCTAGCTGCTTTGTGGCCTTTTGATTTGCCCCATACTGTACTGTTCTTTGCATTTTACAAGCTCTTTCTTTTAATTTTATGTTATCCGTTACCTCCTTAGCTGTCCGTGGCTGTTTTTTTTTAGGTGCAGCTTTTCTTTCTTGTGGGTACAAGCTGCTTCTGAACAGCATTAAATGTTACTTTGAACACCCTCCAATGTTCCTCAATTGTTTTACCTAATTGTACAGCTTCCTACTTTACTGTGGACAGTCTTTGCCTCATTCCATTAAAGTCTGCCTTACTTAAATCCAAAGTACTAGTGTCCGATCTTTGCTTACCTCTTACATGACACTTGATCATATTACGGTCACTATTTGACAAATGCTCATGAACAACCAGGCCACTAACTAAATCAGGTGCATTGCTCATTACTGGATCCAATACTAAATCCAATAAGTCCCCTTGTTGCAACCATGACATATTGCCGTCGGAAACTATCCCGAACACAATCTAGAAATTCAAAAACTTTCTGGCAGGTGTTGTCTGTCTCTCTCAATCTAGGTTAATATTAAAATCCCCTGTTCATACTACTCTGCCTTTGCAACACAATTGTCTAATTTCACTATTTATACAATCTAGCACTTCTGAGCTGCAACCAGATGGTCCATATATGACACCTATCGTGCTTTTAGTTCCTTTATGGTTCCTCAGCTCCACCCGTAAGATCTCCACTGGGCGCTTTCCCCTCATTACGTCCTCCCTCACCACAGAATAGACTCTGTTTCTAATCAATAGTACTACTCCACCCCCTCTGCTGATTTCTCTATCTCTCGTATAAACTTTATCACCTGGCATGTTTAGTTCCCAGTACCGGCCATCCTGTCGCTGGGTCAAAATCCTGGAACTCCCTCTCTGACAGCACTGTGGGTCTACCTACACTCCAGGGATTGCGGTGGTTCAAGAAGGCAACACACCACCAGCTTCTCAAGGGCAACTAGGTGACAGTCAATAAATGCTGGTTCAGCCAGAGATACCAACATCCCATTCACAAATTTAGGAAAAGACCTTGCCAGGATTGTATGCTGTAGGTTGTTGGCCTGATTGATCTAACATGATGAGATGTTTTCCAGTTTAGAAACGGAGTTTCAGGTTTCAAACATACTGTCTTGCAATTTTTTTTGGTTCTCCCAATCCCCCCTCACAGTTACAGCAGGAGACCAGAGAATCTCCTTGGGAAATTACAGTTCTGCACTCTCCTGTGACTTTAGCTTGGCTTTTAAGGACAGGACAATGACCATACGACCCGTGACTAAGTCCTGTAGCTGGCGTACGTGGCAAAGGGCTCTGATGTTCCCCTGGGTCTCTCTTGATGGAAGGGGTCAGGTCACAGAAGCAGCTGATAACACTGTGCCCAGGGATCCATCTTGTGTTAAAACCTCAAAATGTGACAATTCCCCATATAGTTCTGCAATATACTGGGCAAGTGTAGCTCACAGCAGATTTGAAGTTTTCCTGTACCCTTCAGTCCAAATTTCTTTGCACGGTGCATTGCTGAAAATACGAGCTGATAATAGCCCGTGTAGGGAAACAGAATTTTGAAGACCAGTGGGAACACGAGGGTATCTCCTTGACCAATATGATGTAAGGATAGAAATCAAGACAGAAAGGACTGAGAAGGAGGGTTCATTCATTGTTAAGAAGGAGAGAGAGAAAGAGAGAGAAACAGACAAAAGAAATGGAGATAAAAATTACAATTCCAAATTTGGCATTCTACAAGTCTCCAATGGTACAAGAATGAGGATTTTGACACTTACATTTGCTCACTTTGTGGTCCACATGAGGTTTGATTGCCGATCATTTACAATTATCACATTGTTAAAAGTAGTGTGTTGAGTGTGTGGTTAATGTGCAAATGCAGCAATTTTATGGGAATCACTGGGAAGTTTGGAGCAAGAATGAAGCAAGCGATGGCACAGCTCAAATTGTCTAGCAGCCTTGTGGCGATTCACAATTCATGGGATATAATTTTTTAATGGTGTTATCATTTACACATCGTTATGATTTTAGAAACTCCTGGCTTGGCTCAATAATAGCAATTTGACCTGATCTTAACGTGTAGAGCGCGGCTGACTTTTTTGGAAGTCTCCTAACCGAGCTGCTTGTTTGGTCCACTTGTTGAGAACACGATAGAACCATAGCAAAACTTCAGCAGAGAAAGAGGCCATTCAGCCCATCGCATCTATGTTGGCTGAATAAGCCACTCCTAGCCACTCATTCTAATCCCACTTGTCTAACCCATGGTGTAAGACCTTGCACATTACAGTGTATCAGATGCTGTTCCAGGTTCCTTCTAAATGAGTTGAGAATATCTACCTCAACCACCAACTAGGCACCAAATTCCAGAAACCCTCCAGATGAAAAACTTTTCCTCATGTTGCCTCTATTCCTTCTACTGATCATACTCAATTTGTCCTGTCAACTGATCTCTCCACTGGGGGGAAACAGGGCTTCCTTGTTCACCATGTTCAAGGTCCTCCTTATTTTGTACATCTTGATTAAGTCTCTCCTCTGTTCTAAGGACAACAATTCGAGAGAATTCATCAAAAATAATAAACTTCTATCCCCAGCACATGTCTGGCAGCAGAGACTGCCTGCTCTGTGAAAACAACAGTCAGAAGATCAAGCCACCCCAGCACTTCCAGTGCAACTGCCCCACTTGTTTAACATTTTAACAGCTTAATTCATAGTGTTATAGATCATAGAATCGCTATAGTGTGGAAGCAGGCCATTTGGCCAATTGAGTTCACACCAACCCTCTGAAGAGCATCCCATCCAGACCCAACCCCCCCCACCCTATCCTTATAACCCTGCATTTCCTATGGCTAATCCATCTAATCTGCATATCCCTGGAAATCACAGGACAATTTAACATGACCGATCCACCTAACCTGCACACCTTTGGACTGTGGGAGGAGACGGGAGCACCCAGAGGAAACCCATGCAGGCACGGAACTGCAGACAATCCCTGAAGGAGGGCTAATGCAGGCCAGACTGAAGGTAAATCTGGGATATTAGAGTTGTATTCATGCATGCATTCTGGATCAGACAGCCCATCCAATTTCACACTGACCTTCCAAAGAGCATCTAACCCGGAACCATCCCCCTACCCTAACCCTGTAACCCAGCATTTCCCATGGCTAATCCACCTAGCCCGCACATCCCTGGGCACTATGGGAAAGTTAACATGATCAATCCACCCAACCTGCACATCTTTGGACTGTGGGAGGAAACCGGAGCACCCGGAGGAAACCCACGCAGACACGGGGAGAATGTGCAAACTCCACACAGTCAGTCACCCGAAGCTTGAATCGAACCCGAGTCCCTGGCGCTGTGAGGCAGCAGTGCTAACCACTGAGCCACCGTGCTGTCCTAAACCACCATGCTGCCACTGTCCCACTCCTTTAACATCTTAACAGTTTAATCTTCAGAGCAGACCAAGCAGGATACCTTGTGGTTATAGGATGTAATCTGGGTACAGTGAAATTCATGTTGTATTTGGAGTTTATGTGTTTCCATAGGGCTCGTCTCTCTCTTCATCTTCTGAGCCATGTTGCACTCCTGCCGAAGATTGAGAGCATCATCTTGGCAAAATGGAAAGAAATAAATACATGTCTTAGTAAGAGTGTAAAAAAGAATTGAGTCTTCTGCACTGAGGAGTTTCATTTGAAAAGAAGTTTAAGTTTCACTAATACAGGCATATTATCAAACTTCTGTTGGAAGTTTTCATGTTGACAGTACAGACTTACATATTCGTATTATAAACACAAGAGTGGCAGGAGTAGGCCACTCGACCCTTCGTGCCTGGTCTGCCATTCAATACGATCATGGCTGATCTGATTACTCCGCATTTTGATTATGTGGGCGGCATGGTGGCTCAGTGGTTAGCACTGCTGCCTCACAGTGCCAGGGACCCGGGTTCAATTCCACCCTCAGGCGACGGTCTGTGTGGAGTTTGCACATTCTCACCATGTCTACGTGAGTTTCCTGCCACAGTCCAAAGATATGCAGGTTAGGTGGATTGGTTGTGCTAAACTGCCCATAGTATCTCAGTGGATTAGCCATGGAAAATGTAGTGTTACAGGAATAGGGTGCTGGGGGGAGCAGTGTTGATGCTCTTCGGAGGGTCGGTGTGGATAAATGGGCCAAATGACCTGCTTCCACACTGTAGGGATTCTATGATTCTACCTCAGATCACGAGCTGCTTGTATATACCTCAAGACATAGTCAGGCAGCAGAGACAATCCAGGTTTGGAGAGTTGGGGACATCACAAACCCTGTAATTAAAGTGATGAAGCATTGGGCAAATTAAAGACATTAAAGGAGAGATACTGGATTGGTTAGACCTCTGTTGACTGGAGTTTAGAAGAATGAGAGGGAATCTCATAGAAACCAATAAAATCCTAACAGAACTGGACGGGATTAACGTATGTTCCAAATGACCGGAGAGTCTAAAACCAGGGGGGGTCAGATTCTAAGGATGTGGGGTAGGCCATTCAGAGAATCATATAATTATTGCAGTGCAGAAGGCGAACATTGGGCCTATCATTCCTGCACCGGTCCTGTATCTAAAGTTAATCTCCCGCCTTTTCTTCATATTCCTGCACACCATGTCTATCCAAAAGGAAAATCCTACACCCCCCTGAAAGGCTCAATTGAACCTACCTCCATCACATTTTCAGGCAGTGCATTCCAGACCCTAACTACTTGCTGTGTGAGAAAGCCTCTTCTCACATCAACTACAGCGTTGAGTTGGTGGCATTCTCTGCCACTGAAAGTGCTTAATGACAAAACATTGGAGGTTTTCCAGAAGGAGTTAGATATAGTTCTTAGGGCTGTAGGGATCAAAGCATATGGGGAGAAAGTGGGAACAGGGTACTGAGTCAACACAGTGTGGAGCTGGAGGAACACAGCAGGTCAGGCAGCATCAGAGGAGCAGGCAATTTGACATTTCGGGTTTACACCCTTCATCAGATCTCCTGGGTACAGAGTTGGAAGATCAGCCATGATCATACTGAATGACAGAGCAGACTCAAAGGGCCTGAATGACCTACTTCTGCTCCTATTTTCTGAGTTTCAATGAGGAGTTTGGTCTAACAGGGAAATTTTTCAGGTCACCTTTATTAAAGCCGCATAACAGAGGGAATCCCCCGTTAAAGCCACAAAACGTGGGGAATGCCCATGAGGCTGCAAGGAGGCAAGAATTCTCTGTTCCAACCACAAAACATGTGAAAACCTTCCAGGTTATCAGCCCAGTCTGGGAGAACGAGCATGATTGAAAAATTAAAGTGCTTAAAGTGATGAAATAACAATTATGCTAGGAAGCCGTGGCAATTACAAATCGGCAGAGAGATTCAATTTCTAAGATGGGCCAAATAGAACACAATCTTAAGGTATCTGGAAGAAACACAATTCTTGAGGTGTACAATAGTTTGTAAACTGGATACTAAGTCAGAAGCTTAACAAGTAAATAAATATCTGTACAAAATTAGGAATATTGCAGATGATGTTCCAGTTTGTCATAGTGTAAAGGAAGCAATCGATGCATTTAAGGAGATACTGAAACCCTTCAACAATTATTTCAACTTCAAAACTAATAAAATTCTTGAAAGAGCAACGGTTAACGGAAGAATGCAGGGAATCTATAGATGACTTAGTTAATGATCTCTCCAGGCTGGTGGAGAGATATGACTATGGTGAATTCAAAAGAAAGAATTCATAATGGTCTGAATTGTTATAGGTCTTACTGATGATTCTTTGTCAGACTCCTAATGGAAGAAGATCAAACTTAGCAGGACATCATCAAAAGCCATTCAATTTTTAAGTTGCAGAACTATAAAAGTGGTAAATCAATGAGACATATAGAACAGTCACCAGACACTTAAAGACATTGTCAGTACTGTGAAACAAAGAAACCTCACACTTAAAACAATGCCCAACTATTAAAATCAAATATTACTATTGTAAAACAAAAGGTCACTTTCAGAAAGGTGTTGAAGCAGGACCCAGAAAAGCAAATGACCAAAGAACTACCTACAAAGAAAGGTAAATAGTATAGAATAATTGCCAGTTGAAGGTAATGCTGAAGTTTTCCTGGGGAAATAAGGAGCCCAGACCAAACACTTTGGCAAGTTGAAATATGTATCAATGGACATGTCACGAATTTCAAATTAGACACGAGCTAGTTTCACAATATTATCACATTAGCACAAAAGCAGAAGTTGCTGGAAAAGCTCAGCAGGTCTGGCAGAATCTATGAACAGAAAGTCACAGTTAACGTTTCGGGGCCAGTGACCCTTTCTCAGAACAGTTCCGGACCTGAAACATTAACTCTGATTTTTTCTTCACAGGTGCTGCCAGACCTGCTGAGCTTTTCCACCAACTCCTGTTTTTCTTCCTGATTTACAGAGTCCGCAGTTCTTTTGGTTTTTACCACATAAGTCAGTCTTGTTTGAAAGTACACTATTACAGAAGTAATTACATGGCCAGGAGCATAGCAATTAATATTAAAGATGTGCTACAAGCAACTCTCCAAATAAGTGAACACCATACACTAGAAAACCTTCACAACCAGGAATTCAGACTCCTGAGCTGAAAGGAATATATTGACCTCAAACTCATTCACAATGCAGAAGTGGTTAAACCACAAAAGGTAAACGAATACCTGGTTGAAGATATGCTACATGCAACTCCATGGCAATCACCACTAAGACAAAATCAGCAATGCCCAAAGTCTAGGCTGCTGCTAAGAAAGAAATTGTCTGCTCTAGCAGGGAAATGTTCTCCATGAAAGAAATCCAAACAAATCCAGTTCAGGGAGAACTGGTCATCAGGAAGCTGGTCTCAAATAAGTTTCTTCTACTCAACAAACTACCAAGCTTTCAAGTCCGAAGAAAACACATTCAAAGAGAACAGTGAAACCTCCAGATTATCTGAATTTGTAAAGTCAAAGATCTGGGACAGATAAATGTAATTTTATAACAAATGTATAACAATAATAGTTCTGAGAAAAAATGCTTATTATATGTCGGATATGGTTCTGAAAAGCTACATGCTGCTTGAGTGCCATGATCACCAGCTCCTGTGATGGTATCATGAGGACTTGGACTTAGGGAGAAGGCAACTTAGGATCTTCAAGGAGTTAGAGAGAAGAACAGGTCCCCCTTTCATCTCAGTATTAATGTATACAATATCCTTGCAACCTGTAAGTTATTGCAGAGATTCAATAAGCATATTCTGTTTATTATATGAGACTATTATCATTAGAATGGGAAGTGGCTTTGCCAATCCACATTAAATCACACGGGACACTGGAAAATGTACACCCAGGACATATTGGTGACAGCACAGACAGTATGCTGTTTATCGTCAGCACAACAACAACCTGCACTCAGCATGTTGTAGGCCTCTAACCCTATCTGTGCTCACTACCTTATTCTATTCCCTAATAGGCCACCACTAAGTGACTTTTTTTTTACAACAATGATCATTTTCATAGTTACTGTAACTAAGGCTAGTTTCATTTCTCTGGATTTATGAGCTGAATTAAATTCCACCAGCTGCTGTGGTGGGATTTGAACCTGTCCCCCCAGAACATTAGTCTGAGCCCCTGGATTACTAATCCAGTGACATTATCACTATCCCTCCTGAGACTGATAGAGCTAGCATGTTCAGGATAATCCCTTTCCCCTTTTGTGAGCAGGGGTGTAATATTTGCATTTCTCCCTCTTTTCCCTAGCATCACTCAAAGGTTTGGAACATGATAGCCAGATCCTCTTCCTCTATCCATCCTTACTGTCCTTGATGCAACTCATCCAGATATAGATGACCTTTCTACTTTAAGGACTGCCAACTTTTAGGTATCTCATCTTATCTGCTAAAATAATGGTGGAATTGGGAATGGTGGGGTCACCGGTTGGGACACTATTGCCAATTCTTCGTTGCCTTTGAGAAGGTGAAGGTGAGTCACCTTCTTGAGCAGCTGCAGTCGAGTTAAAGATGGTGTCCACTATCATATTTCTGGTCCATTTACATTATACAGTACCTCATAGTCATTACTGCAACTACACTGCACACCCAACCCCCGCAAGATCATACGTACATAGCGGTTCTTAAGAAGCTTGGGCCTACAGCACAAAAACTCAACAACGTCACTGAGAGTTCCTGGTATGTAAAATGGTACTCTTTAAAAAGGTTATGAGAATCCTCAAGTCACTGCACAGGACAGTTGTCAGAATAATTGTACACGCAAGGGATTTTAGCTACAAAGTTAGGTTGGAGAAAATGGGTTGTTCGCTTTCAGAGCAAGGGCATTTTGGTAGGAGGTTATGTACAAGATTAAAGCACAGTTTTATATACGAAGAAATGTTCTTTCCATTAGCTCCTAAAGGACAATGGAACCTAGGTTTAAAGTTTTGGGCAAGGTTTTGAGTTTAGTGAGAAAGTTTGTCTGGATTACTGCTCAGTGACCATAATTAAGGTCTAGCTTCAATGTTTTGCTTCTCCTTCCCCGAAAATCAGTCAATTGATCAACACTTGGTGTGTAGGAGTTGCCGACAGAATGTGGAGACATTCTCCATCATGA